GTGCCGGGTCGACGTCGTCGCGGCTGTCTTCCCGAGGAGGAAGGCAGGCTCAAGGGGACGAGGCTGGGGAGACTGGGGAGGTCACGAGCTACTGCCGGCCGACACGTGCTGGGCACTGGCTCCCGGCCCTCACGAGCTACTGCCGGCGGTCACGTGCTGGGCACTGGCTCCAGCCCAGACCGGCCGGGACCGAGCAAGGCGGGTCAGAGCCGCTGCGCGCTAGGGCGCCTCCAGGACCTGCGGTCGTGAGGAGGCCGGTCCGAGCCCGGGCCTTCCCCGCGGTGGCAGGCAGAGGTGACGTGGCTCTCTGGCTGCTGGGCGCGGGACGGAGGCAGGGCAGGCTGTCGCTGTTACTTGGGTGAGTTGTGACGGAGGCAGAGGCAGATCTGACTGGGCTTGTAATACCTACTTGAGGGAGGAGAAGGACTGGATTTGTGGCCGAAGGGTGATAGCACTGGCCGAGATGGGGGGACACGTGGGAGAGAAGACAGTTCGGGAGGTTAACTTTGGGTTTGAAGGACTTGTATTTGAGAATCCTTATAAATCTGGGACTCACAGAATTTTCTCTCAGGGGTTCTAATCCTCAGCACACTGACTGCAGAGGAGGAAAAACTGCTGGAGTGCACGTTCTCCTGTTCATTGGGGTTGCTGCGCAGGCCACACTCCCTCCCCTAGCTTCCAGGGTTCTGCCCCCCCCTTTTTTTTGGAGAGGTTTTTGCCACAGGGCGCGCTCGCCAGGCAGAAACAGAAAGCAAGAAATCACCCCCCAGGGGGGATGGCCACGCCGCAATCCCTTCTCCTCCATTCTCTGGGGATCATAGGCACGCATGCACACGCGCCCGGTGTGTTTTAAGCCACCGGGTCCGGGATGCGAGCTGCGGTCGACTACGTGGGAGTCCAGCGACATAGCTATTAAGCTAACTGATGGTCCCGTGGGTTCTGCCCCTTCTGAACTTTGTTTTCTGCTGTCGCTTCCCACCTGTGAGCTGCCCCTTATACTTCCAATCATTCTTCCATTTACTAAAACATCCCAGAGCTGATTTCCATTATTGGACCCTAGGACATGATCCAAAAATAACTCTGCATAATGAAGGCCGTTTGGGGGAAGAGTGGGCATACAACAGACTGAAAAAGGGCACAGGATTCCCAGCAGAAGGCCCATCGAGGGCAAAGGCAAGGGTGAGATGAGCCTGCCTCCTGGGAATGGAGAGTGTGGTTGGGGCTTAGGGTTCTTTGTGAAGAGCAGAGGAGACTCAAGAAGATCAGATGTCAGCCTGCGTCCTTCACTGAATACCAGTATGGAGCTGAGCCCCTACCTCTGCCAACTGGATTTAACTTGAGCAAGAATTAAACTTTTGTTCTGTTAAACCATTGAGATTTCAAAATTCATGTTATGGCTGCTAACTAACTAGTGCACATCTGCACATTCACAGAGGTGCTTGTGTGGGTCTGGTGAATCGTCACTGGAGGTTTATATCCTGGCCTAGTCCTGTAGTTTCTCATCTCAGTAATTTTAACAGAGAACAAATCAGACAAAAGAATGTTAATGAAGAGCCAGCTTGTCAGAAATTCTCTGCTCACTGCTCTCCCAGGACTGGGTGAGCTAATGTCCCCAGAAGCCCACCAAAACCTAGACACTTTCCTAGGGGAGGTTACACAGGCACCCTGAGAGGCAGAGGTCTGTGAAGATACTTTCAGGAAGTCCAAGAGAGCTCTGGTGTGGAATGTAACATTTTGTGAGCATAGGTGGGATTGGAGGGAGGGCAGCGAGTAGCATAGTAGTTAAGGTGCTGGACTACTCCCACATGGTTGACAATGGTTTGAGCCCCAGGCCCAGTGGCTTGAAACTCAGGCCGGGTACATGTGCATGAGTGTCCAAAACTCCAAGAGGAGAATGGAGAAGGGATTGTGTGCCCATTCCCCTGGGTGATGCTTTCTCATTTTCTCTGGTGAGTGCACAGAGCGCCCTATAACAAAAATCTCTAAGAAACAAGTAAACAAAAAACTGTTAGAAGGCACCTAGATCTCTCCTTATTTTAGTTAGTTATTTATTTTTTAGGTTATTGTTGTAGTGTGCACTCATTGGAGAAAGACAGAGAAGGAAAATGAGGAATCACCTCCTGGGTGGTGGCCATGCTGCAGTCCCTTCTCCTCCATTCTCCTGGGGTTTTAGACATGCACATACATGTGCCCAGAGTGCTTTTCAAGGTGCTAGATCTGGGACTTGAACTGTGGTCAGCCATGTGGGAGTCTAGTACCATAATCACCATGCTACTTGCAGGTCCATCTCTCTTAATCTTTTAATTTATATTTCCAGAGCTTATGAGACACTCTCACAGATTTCTTATAGCTAAGTTAAATTCAATATTTAAAAATTTCATTTAATTACCCAGTCATCCAAAATAGGAAATGAGAGTTGTCTTTGATACCTCCCCATCAGGTTTGTCAGATCCACCTTTGGTGTTCTCAGCTCCCTTTCTCCATTTCCATGGCATTGCCTTGGTTTAAGCTGTCATTTCTTCCAGCTCTGCCACTGCCATGAGCACTGCACTGACACTTCTACCTGAGAGGTAGAAGCACATACCTCCTTTGTTCTTACTCCACACCAGATCCTCTGCTGCAGCATGCACCCCTGTCAAAGCTTGGGTGCTTGCTGACCCCTCATTCAGGAATAATTTGCTTTCAGGTATGGGACATGAGAGACATGAGACATGGTTTACTCTCATCTCCTTCACCTCCTTCAGGTCTGTAGTCATGGCTTTATTCTGCAAGGCCTGCCTCTGCCACTATCTGAAATTGCCACCTACTCCTCACTTATCCTTCCCCTCACCTACTTTTCTTTGCACTTATCACCTACTATTCAACTTACTATGTAATGTATACATTTTTCTTGGTTGTTGTCTGTCTCCTTTACTAGACTCTAAGCACCACATGTACTTGTCAGTTGTTCACTGTTGTTCTCCAGTGCCTTGCACACTTTAGGCGCTCACTAAGCGAGGGCACGCATGCACACATACCTGGTGTGCTTTAAGTTGCCCGGTCTGGGGCTTGACCTGTGGTTGACTATGTGGGAGTCCAGCCACGTAACAATTATACCATCTGCTGGTCCTAGTTTACTTTTAATGTAATTTTAATTAAAAAAAAAAAGAAGTCACATGAATAAAGGAACATATTTTGTTGTAGGTCATCCCGTGTGTCTTGTCACCTAGCAGCCCGACCTCAGGCCTGGAAGAAGGCCTAAGGCCTCTGCAAGGTTGTGTTCCAGCCCAGAGGGATGAAGGTGATATGGCCTTCCATGGAGGATGCAGGTGGGCCCTGCCATCAAGCCAACAAACAAACAGAAGTGGCCCCAGGGAACAGGTGAAGTTTCTGAAGCAAGAATTTATTCCAAGTGTACATATGGGTGTGGACCACAACCACAGAACCTGCATCACTAAGTGGAAACACACATTCTAAACAGATCACCGGTCTCTCACAACCCTGCCCTTTCCTGGCCACCTTCTGACCTGAGTTCACAAGGAGAGGGCCTCCTAATTCCCAAACAAAACATAGGTACCTAAGGGCTGAGAGAATTACACATCCTTATTTTTATTAATGTCTACCAAGAAATAAAGCACTTCCTGCCTGCTTCAGCCCCACCTCTACCACCTGGGCCCTCAGGGAGCAGCATCTGCCCAAGGAACCCTTGCTGCCATAGCTGTCCTTGGAGCCTGTGCACCTGTGCACGGCCACCCCTCATGCCTGTGTGCTGGCCACAGGCCCCTTCTGCACGTGGGGATGAAAGGGCAGCTGGCATCTCTTCAGCCCTCAACTCTCAGCCTTGGGAACTTGGAATAGATCAGCGATGTCCAGCAGAGCTTGGTGGATGTGATTCCCAAAGCGCTGGGCATTCTGTGGGGACCAAAAGCTCAGACACACCTCCAAGGGAGCCCCAGCCCTCCATCCCCATGAACAAGGACTCTTCCCCAGACAAACAGTATGCTCCTGGGCTGCCCCAGGTGGCGCCCCCTCCATAGGTGAGAGCAGGAGAGACTTACTGTCTCTGAGCTTGAGAACTTGCTAGAGACGTGGAAGAAGATGGTGTTCTCGCCTGCAATCATGTAGGAGACCCCATAGCCATCATCCGCCACCTGAGGGCAACACAGTGTAAAGGAGAAGACAAAAGTCAAACCTGGAAGGTCTGAAGAAAGCCAAGCTGGTGTGCTTGCTGCTCTCACAATATTGCAAGGGGTCTCACCCCCCAGGTGCCTTTTTCCTGAGGTAAGGACCATCCCCAGAAACAACCAAAGAATGCCTCCTGTAGTTCTGGACATGAATATCTTACTGGGAAAGAGCTGAGTCCTCTTAGGTGGTCACATTTCAGAAGTTCCTGATGGGCTACCCATTGAGTTCCCACTGGAACCCAGCCCTACATCAGAGGTGGTAGGTCCCAGGTCTCCGTCCACCTGGGTTGGTAGCTGCCATTCTGCTCCCATGCAGGTCCAGGACTATGCTATCTTCTAAGCAAGGTGCTCCTGCCCCCTGCTCTGACCTCAGAGTCCTGCACTCTCCGCTGAAATCCCTGGACCCCCAGTGCTCCCCCCTCCCATCCCCCCCCCTTCAAGGGTACTCACAGGGCCAAAGCCACCTCCAGCGCCCAGATGATTGGGATACTGGTCTGGGTCAAACATGCGGATCTGGGATTGAGGGATCTGGCTGGTGGAGAGGCGCCAGGGTTCTGAAAGTACCTGCAACAGGGATGCCCCAGTCTGTCAGATTCCACCCACTCAGCATGCACCTGTCCATCTGCTGAGACACACTGAGCATGTCCTGGCACGTTCTGCTAAGGACATAGCAGTGAACGGGTATACAAGAGCTCCTGTCCCTCATAGCTTCTCCTTTCCACCACAGTGTCTGTAAAAACCTTCCCTTCTGCTGCATGAGGCCATGTGTCCTGCACACCCTCCCTCTGATCTGTCTCCTTCCCCTTCACTTCTTTTCCTTTTCTCACTGGCACTGTCACCACCTGACAGGCCACACATCCATCTCTGTCTCCCCCTGCCCCCCCCCCCCCCACATTTGGCCTCGTGCGTGTGTGGAGC